GACACTGATAATGATTGGCTCAACAAGGATATGTGTAGTGAGCCCTCTAGTGGTGGCATTTACAGTGACTGATGGTGACATGGGTTCGGATACAGATACAGATACATCTTTGGTTGCAGAAAAAGTTGTTCTCAGAAGAGTTGTTAATCTTGATCTAGGTTGTGTAGATGGTGTAGTTATCTGTCTTGAGGTGGAAGCAAATGATGGTATATGTGTGGTACTTGCAGCAGAAGTAGTCCTACTCTGTGATGTGGCTTGCTTGGGTGTAGTTGCAGCTGCTGTTGGTTCAGCAGATGTTGTTTTCCTGGAAGTGGTTGCTGCTTCTGTTGTTTCAGCCGATGTTGTTTTCCTTGAAGTAGTTGCTGCTTCTGTTGTTTCAGCAGACGTTGTTTTCCTGGAAGTAGTTGCAGCTGCTGTTGTTTCAGCAGACATTGTTTTCCTGGAAGTAGTTGCAGCTTTGTTTCAGCAGACGTTGTTTTCCTGGAAGTAGTTGCTGCTTCTGTTGTTTCAGCAGACGTTGTTTTCCTGGAAGTAGTTGCACTGCTGTTGTTTCAGCAGACATTGTTTTCCTGGAAGTAGTTGCAGCTTCTGTTTCAGCAGAGTTGTTTTCCTGGAAGTAGTTGCTGCTTCTGTTGTTTCAGCAGACGTTGTTTTCCTGGAAGTAGTTGCAGCTGCTGTTGTTTCAGCAGACGTTGTTTTCCTGGAAGTAGTAGCTGCTTCTGTTGGTTCAGCAGATGTTTTCCTGGAAGCAGTTGCTGCTTCGGTTGGTTCAGCAGATGTTGGTTCAGCAGATGTTGTTTTCCTGGAAGTAGTTGCTGCTTCGGTTGGATCATCAAATGTTGTTTTCCTGGAAGTAGTTGCAGCTTCTGTTGTTTCAGCAGATGTTGTTTTCCTGGAAGTAGTTGCTGCTTCTGTTGGTTCAGCAGATGTTGTTTTCCTGGAAGTAGTTGCTGCTTCGGTTGGTTCGGCAGATGTTGTTTTCCTGGAAGTAGTTGCTGCTTCGGTTGGTTCATCAGATGTTGTTTTCCTGGAAGTAGTTGCAGCTGTTGTTTCTACAGATGTGAATTCCTCAAAAACTGTTTCAAAGTTTTCAAGATCAGTTGCATATGAAAGTGCATCAGATGTTGTCACATCAAGAGTCTCAGTCACACTGGTAATAGGGATTGATGCTACTACCGCAGACGAGCTTATGCTTGGAGTTGTACCAATATGAGAGGCCGTTACGCTGGAAACAGCAAATGTTGTTCCACCCTCAACAGGAACGGAAGATGTTGTCAATGTGTCAGCAGATGTCAATCCTAGAGATGTGGATGTTGATGCATCATCAAATTGTGTCAGAGGGCGAGTTGTTTCAACAGAATCCACCTCAGTTGATAGCAACTCTGTTGCAAAGTATGTTAACTCTTCAAAGACAGTTTCTGTATCGAAAAAGGTTGATGCAGCAGAAGTAGAAGATGGAAAATTAGATGTTGTCATTTCAGGAGTTGCAGACTTGGATGCAGTTGCTGCTCCAGTAGATATTACTTCATCAGAAGTATCTTCTTGTGTTACTATATGCGTTGTAACATTAGAATGATGTAAGCCTGAAACAGCTGTTATAACAGGTCCTGCAGTGGGTGTTGTTACTGCTGGTTGATCTGTTACAACAATAGGCTCAGTCACATTGGTCTTAGTTGTTGTATTGGGTCTTAATGCCACAGATGTTGTTACTTCTGGTTGATCTGTTACAACAATGGGCTCAGTTAAATTGGTCTTAGCAGTTGTTGTATTAGGT